GACGTCATCGATACTACCGCCTTGTTATACCTTTCCGCATCCTCGTCAATGAGTCGAAAATGCCACTTGGAGGAGGAGCTCTCTACGAAGGACAGCCATCACTGGATTTGAGCCTTGCTCTTGGCAACAAGAGAAGCACTTTTCTTGACAGATATCTTGAGGATCGATCTCTCTTCAAGCATCGATTCCCCTTAAGTGATTTATCGAACCTCCTGGTTTAAACATCATTCTTCATGTGGCACCAATCTCTTTTTATTTCATTCTTATTGATTCATCTAAGAGGAATGTCAATCGAAACTCGACGTTCTTTGGGAAATTTGTCACTCCTCTTAGGGGAGTCCGATACTATAAGAAGCTCTATGCACGATTTTGCCATAAACATATCTAGGCAAGTTGGCTGTGCTTATAGAAATTGGCATTAGTTATAAAAAGGATTTTAGTGAGCAAGACAAACGTACCATTCTTTGCGGTAGGATGGATAACACTCATTTGATTGAGGATCGTCGCGCCGTCATTGGTAATCGTTACATCTCCGTTCCCAGACTGGATCATCTTGTCCATTCCACGAGGACCAAGAGATGTGCGCACGGCATCACTCACTGCCTTGGCAGCAATAATGTTGCTAAACGTGTCCATGCATTTCATCAGAAATAATCATTTCTGAACCATATCTGTGTCGGTACCACTTTTCTTATACGTTGGAATGATAGTTGCAAAGCTAGCTTAGAATTGTGCGAAATTGTGACAGGACCTCTCACATTTGAAGCATCCTTTGACCACCTCAGAGCTCGAACAAAATGCGCATTTTCTTATCCATTTTTTTTCTTTTTCATTGTTAGGATCTTACGGTAGAAATCACCAAGCCCTGATGAAATCCTAGGAATGATAAACCATAGGAGTGATGAGAGAACCATAAATCGATATGGTATCCGCCTCCGACGCCCCTAATTTTGCATCTATGACTGTGTATCTGCCTAGGTATCGAACAAAGGATAAGATAAAGGATAAAGCATTTGCCGTTGATCAATCCCTTTTTGGGATGCGGCACGCATTCTACTTCCATTTGTACATTCGTAGTGGCGTTTGAATGCGATGTGGCCTATACAATGACTTGCGGGGCCAGCCGATGTACAAGTCAGTGTTTTTATCCTCCCAGACAAGTCTGGTACCAATTAACCGACCCCGGAGGGATGGAAGGCTTGGTTGGCCCGGGCGACTCACGACCCAGGATTTGATCCCCGGACCGCTCGCGTGGTAAGCGCGCCACTTGTCACTACACCACTTCCGCCCATGGATAATAGCTATTTTTAGAATGCAAAAATACTTGTTCTTTGAATTTCGGCCTGCGTTCTTATGGAAATTCGTCACATATTGCATACTATTATATAATCTCCCAGCAGGAGGAGACGGTGTCAAAACTATTCTTTCGCTGAAACGTTCTTTTAGGGGTGATTGGGGCCCTTGTCCGATATAAGAGCTCTTTTGCGTCGTGAGCTGCAGAAAATGGCTCCAATAATTCGCCACAAACTCTTGATACATTAGAGGTTATTTTGTGCCGGGCGCAAATTACGAAGTTATACGAGCACTACAAGTCCTTCGATGCTTTTGGCCGTGATGTCAACTCTGCGGATTGGCCGATGTCAGAGTCTGCGATTGGAGCGATCGGTCAAATGCCAATCGCGCGACCATCGCGCGATTCGCGCGACGATCGCGCGATTGACATGAGTCCCATCATGACCAATCGCTCCAATCGCGCGATGGGCGCGATCACTCCCGTTGTGGCTGGCGCGCCCCTCTCGATCGATACGTTGACTGAGGCTATCGATCGAGAGAGATGGGGCGCGCCACAACGGGAGTGATCGCGCCCATCGCGCGATTGGAGCGACTGGTCATGATGGGAGAAATGTGCCAATTCGCTCAATGGCCGATGTCAGACTCTGCGATTGGAGCGATCGGTCAAATGCCAATCGCGCGACCATCGCGCGATTCGCGCGACGATCGCGCGATTGACATGAGTCCCATCATGACCAATCGCTCCAATCGCGCGATGGGCGCGATCACTCCCGTTGTGGCTGGCGCGCCCCTCTCGATCGATACGTTGACTGGTATCGATCGAGAGGGGCGCGCCAGCCACAACGGGAGTGATCGCGCCCATCGCGCGATTGGAGCGATTGGTCATGATGGGACTCATGTCAATCGCGCGATGGTCGCGCGATTCACATTTGACCGATCGCTCCAATCGCAGAGTCTGACATCGGCCATGTATGCTATACCTGCCGTCGGACGCGCTCTCACTTCTCAGTCAGGATAGCTTTAGAGGAGGAGGTTCCAACGTGCGGTAAGCCTTCACTGGTGCGATTTCAGACTTCCCGAGCTGGAAGGTTTTGCACCAGATCTTCGCGGTAGTCTGAATCGGCACTCAGTGATCTCACACGCTTCATCTTTTGCCACATAGTGCTTGGTTTACCCACTACATCGCAGTCACTCCCTTCCCCTAAGCTTAGTCGTAGGCGCTTCATGGGAGAGGGTTCCTAAGAGGAAATATGGTTAAAACAGCGCGAACGAAAAAATGAATGTCATGTTCGTAATCAGGGCCCAAATAACCCCTATACACAAGTTTACAGCGAGTTTGGTGAGATTCAGTCAGGGCGCCGTCTGGCGCCAAGACGCCAACTCGGCGTCAGCGCCAAAAATGGATTCCACTTCGAAATGAGGACCCTCTATATCCCCTCGAAAAATTGACCCATCTCACCCTTTCTGTGGTTGTATTAGTGTAATAGTGCCGAAGTTCTACCACAAAATTTGTAAAACTGCATATTAGGTGTATCAGGCACTCAGATCAGGAAGAGCGAGCGGAACTATTCTCATACCTGTTACGGACACCTTCAGGCTTATCCTTATCCTTGAAGTACGACTCCTTTCCCGAAGGTCGAGATGCTGTTGCTGGCTTCACTGACATCTGGAAAGCACTTTCCTTCAATGTCTCAACTACTAATTCTACTCACGAAATACGACAATATGCGAACATCTCTCTCAAGGCCTTCACGAAAAACGAAAAACAAAGCGATAAGGCTTACGCTTTCCTACGTGCAGAGCTAATAAACACACATAGAGAAGAGATTCGCCAATTCGTAAGAAAGTGGACTTCAGTACCTCAAAACGAGAAGGAAGTAGCTTTCGAGACAAGCGCCGCATTCGCAGAATACTCCAGCTTTACTGCGTTTTTACGGCATGAACAGGGTATTCCTGTAGGACCTATCGATAAATTTAAAGTTGGATTAGAGCGCGTTTACTGATGATGTTTAAAGGTGTTTGCGCGTATGGTTTTTTCTTGTGAATTGAGTAGCTCTCTAATTTCGAGTTTGTTCCTTATCACATGTTTCACGAACTTCTCTTCGTTCCAGTGTCCCTTCCGATCGTCTGTTAGCTTTTTCGTCAAATTTTTATCACTGTAGACGACTTTGGTGGCTTTGCAACCCATATTCCATTCCGAGTGCATCTGTAGTACTTTCGCGATTTTTCCTCATTGTGTTTGAGCCTTATGAATAAGGTACAAAGGTTTAAATCTAGGACTAAATAGGTTGAGAGCGAATAAATACCTTATCTCTTCTAACAAAATTATTACGTAGCATAATATACTGGTAATGGATTTTCCTTAAGATGAAACAGATGGAAGATGCTCCTTCAGTAAGTACAGCTGACGAAAAGGAGCCCTCAGAAAGTGTAAATGAGGACAAGAATGTGGAAGAGACCGAATTCAAAAAACCTGTTCTGTCGAAGAAAAGAGCGGCTGAAGATGCTGGAGAAGGACCTGATACCAAGAAGCCAGGTAGGTTCAAATGTTATGTGGAGCTTTTATAAGCGTATTCTTTCTTGCTCGCATTATGTTGTGGTCAATTTAGAGCGTAAGCTGAAATTTGAGTCAACATATCTGCGATCTATTCCATCTGCAAGCCAGTATGAGAAGTCATTCATGCATCGTGATATTATAACTCACGTTCTCGCCACAGAGTAAGTTTCTGGCTTTGAAAAATAAGCCTCTTGTGGCAACGTATTTGACTACGCTCAAGGGTTTAAAATAACACCATTATAGGACTGATTTCATTATAACAGCCAGCTGTGATGGTCATTTGAAGTTTTGGAAGAAAAAATATGCTGAAGGAGTCGAATTTGTTAAGCATTTCCGTTGTCATCTAGGTTTGTGGATATTGTTGATATCGTTATTACTGGAATTCCGCTGCAAGAATCTAAATTTTTTCAATTTTCAGCTGGCGTTTCTCATTTCGTGGTACCAAACTTGACGGGGGGGGCACTTTACTGGCGACAGTATTCAACAAGATAAGAAGTAAAGTTTCGACGGTAGGAGAACTTGACATGATAAATAATCTCAAATAGACTCGCGCCAGGACTGCCTTCTGTCATACCGCTACCGAAATAGATATATTATTTTTTAGTTTATAAAACATGCCTTTCATTAGCTCAATTATCTAGATCAAGCAATGCGCTTTCCAACGTTGTTAGCTCTAGCCGAATGCGTGACTACCTGCTGTTTACAGCAGCCTCCGTAAAATAGCATTGGTTGATGGAAGGGAAACCACCGCCTGTTACTCTAGAAAAAAATACACTACGCACCTGTTCGGCTTATGAAGTGATTTTATTTCTCGCCCTGTTCTATTTAGTTATATCATTTAACCTTGGTGAACACGGACCACTTAGCGACTTTTACGGACTTTTATATGGTCTGTTTAGTTAAATAAACCATGCACAGACATCGTTATTCCGTCGCCATTCTGGAGAGTATAAATGGAGCGGAGCCAGAGGAGTTTAATTGTAAAATATTAGTCCAAGTACAAGATAAACCGGGTGATTTGTATGAGTATAAACTAAGTTGCGACCAACCGGACTTATCTCTGTGCTCCAATTTTTGCCGACTTAGACGAAAACGATCGTTCTTTGCAATACACACAACTCCGAGAACCATTTCACACATTTGCGAAGCCTCGACGATACAATTTTTGCTGGGCAAAAGAAAAACTGATCAATCGGAAGATGAACATGTTACAAAGTATCAGAACAAACTAATAAAAACAACGTATGTTGACAGCTCATGCGCTTATATCATTGTGGAAGGCTTTTCTGCGCTTTCCTATTTAGTCGTTGGGTCTTTAGTTCCTATGGTTTGCAAAACATGGAATGGAATCGACGTGTAGCCTTGGAGAAAGAAATGGATAAGGACCGCGCCAATGCTTTCAAGAACGTGAAATTATGTTGGGACTATTCAGGATACTTTGTGTTGTATCCTTCTCCAGTTGGAATCAAGGTGAGGTATATCTTCGAAAAAAGACAGTGGTGGGAGATTGGTTGAAAACGCCGATTATGCAATTGCGAAGCAGATGCTTTTTTCAGGTCTACAATGTTTATACCGACAGCGTGGTCCGAGAAATCGGAAAAGAAGAAACTATGCGATTCATAGGTGTTTCACTATGCAGGTAAGTGTAACTTACCACTTCTCATATGTTTTCATGCCTTCGATTTGTGCGTACGAAATAAATGACTTAAGATCAGTACCGGACATTCGAGCTCGGTTACAGGGAGCTGCAGCCACGATAGAAACTGAGGCGGCGGATAATCCGAACTTGAATAGAATTACCGATCCCGATCCCATTATGGTAGGCAGTCTCCAGTCTTCCTTTCCTATTTTCTACCTATTTCATTCCTATTGATTCATTTCAATATCGTTAGGTGTGTTGTGCTCTCAAGAAGAATCGCTTTTACCTGTTCACGAATACGGAACCCTACTCAACAGACGACGGCGACGATTCTGCAGTTAGCAGAGACATATTCAATGAACGGCCACGAAAAGAAGACCAATTGACTGCTGTTGAGGTTGGCACATCTTCGATTTACTATAAAAAGTAGTGAAAATTCATAGACATCTCATTTCAGCAAGAAGGTGATGTTGTTCATGCGACTGAAGAAGCTGTCATTCACACGACAATGGGAGATATTCGAATTCGCCTATTCCCCAATGAATGCCCTCGAACCGTTGAGAATTTCAGTACTCATGCGAGAAGAGGATATTATAACGGCTTAACATTCCACAGAGTGATTAAATCGTTCATGATACAGGTAGGAAGTGTTCCCATGTCGTGATATTTTATTATCTTTCAGTTGATAGTGCTCAACATCACAACCTCT